ATGAACAGAAGGGATTTTTTGAGGGATGAACCTGTTATGTTATGCAGTTGTCACAAGTTTGATTCCTGGCGCTTTGTTGCGTCTCTTCCCCTTCCCTCTCTCAATCGTTCTTTCTGTTCAGCTGCTGTTGAATAGAGACCACTGGTGCCATAAACACCTTACATACATAGACATATCTCTCAAAAACAAGGTGAAAATGTTTTCTTTTGAGAGGCTCTTTAAGTTTGTAACTATTTTCTCATCAGAACAACATCTGTTACCATGCAAAGTTTGATGACTTGATTGGTTGACACGGCCATTGTTCAGCTGAGAAAACAACAATAAACCTTGTGAAATTATAGACATTCAGTCTCCACTATCATACAGGTGTATTCCACAGATATAAGCATTTATCCTTTGAATTATTTCAAACTCCAAAAATGAGTGAAAACACTAGTTTTTAGCCTCTCACCAGCCTCAAGATTCAGATTCTTTTTGTCATAAATATCACACACACCTGATTCTACAGCTCAACATAAAGGTAAATGGAACATGACATAAAGTAGAATCACTTTCATGTTGAAGTACCAAAAGATTTGGAAATAAAAGCAAAAATGTGCAAATATTTTTGCTTAAGTGACATAATGTTCAAGGACGCAATGCCAGGAGGAAACTCACAGAGATGGTGATATGAGTCCTTCAAGATGTGTGTTGCTTTCTAGAGGCATCAGGAGGTGAAGATATTGTTCAAGTCAGGCAGGTTTTTATTGTTTCTTGTGCGGTTTTGATCGCTCTCTGCAGGGCCTTTTGTCAGCTGTAGAGTTGCTGCTGAGTCACATCAGGATGAGGCTGATCAGGCCTCTGTCAATAGATCAGTGGTAAGACGATGTTATGGCTGGTTCATCACACTGAGAGCTTTCAGGAAGTGTAGCCATTGTTGTGCCTTCCATGGAATTTCTCTGAAGTTGTGCTGTGACACCCTCCCTGCGTCTTTTTCCAGTTATTGTTGAGCCACCTTTTTCTTCCCTGAGTCATTGATGATTTCCTTTGTTTTCTCAGTGTTTAAAGTAATATCTGTGCAATCAGCCGGTGGTCTGGTTGTACAGACCGCTCTGTACACTGAGTCATCTCCGTAGGCTGACCATAGTTGTGTTATTTGTTGATTTAATGACGCCGGTGGTATTGTGGGTGGACATACATTCCTGCCTCTAAAGGGAGTACAAAAACAGAGACTCAGGACGCAGCCTTGTGGGGCTCCTGTGCTGAGAAACAGGGAGCAGGAGTGGTGGGGTCTTGACAGACTGCATTCGGTTTGTTGAAAAGTGCTGCATCCGAAGGCAGATATTGTAGCGGAGGCCGAGGTCAGACATCTTGTTACGTCTCATGAAACAATCCGCTTGGCAGAATAGTGTTATAGAACGGTGTGCAGGGTGGTGAGACACATCTGCAGCTTTGTTGTTACTATGGAAGGAAGTCGGGAACCACCAAATAAATTAAATAAGTTAAAATACGATATCATAAAATATGACAAAACTCTGAAAAAAAACCCACACAAATAAATATATGCCCACAATGTTTTTTATATATATATATATATATATATATATATATATATATATATATATATATATATATATATATATATATATATATATATTAATGCTTGAAACATGATCCAAAAAATTTCCCATTGCATTTCTTGGTTAATTAGACCGCTTGGCAGCAGGGCAGTGACAGGACTGGGCTTTGAAAGTGCATGCAGTGGGAGTTTACAAAGTAAATATAGTGAGAGGATGATTAATCTGTGAATGACTGTGTGTGGTCAAATACTTCTGTGTTAAAGGAGTAACAACTCCTGGTGTTAAGCTGCAAATAATTTGGGGATTTTATTGTCAACGTAAGCTGGACTCCATTCTGTGTTGTAAAACAGAAGAGGGTCTTGAGCCATTACCACATAAAAGTAGCATGCTTTAATTAACAAAAAAAAAAAAAAAACTTCGGTACTTTGCAAAAGTACCCATACCTTTTAATTGTCCACATTTTGTCACGCTACAGCTACAAATTCTATGGTTTTGTTAGCATTTTATGTAATAGATCAATGCAAAGTAATTACAAGTAAATTGTACATGCCTCTTTTTTTTATTATTTGTGTAGAAAAGTCTAACAAGTGTGGCATGCATTTGTATTCAGTCCCACAATAGTATGCAGAACCAATGTTTATTGCATTCATTGCAATAAACTGGATATTTGGGGCATATTGTTCTATAATCTTACCCTGATTTAAACTTCTCCATAAGTTTCTCCCTGACCTGTCTGCTGTGTTTCTTGTTTTTTAATGATGCTGTTTGCTCTCTAATGCTGTCCTACAAACCTCTGAGGCCTTCACACAACAGCTGGATTTATACTGAGATTAAATAACACACACGTGGACTCAATCTTTTCTTTAGATGACTTTTTAAGCTAATTTGTGCACTACATTTTATTTAGTGATATTAAAGTGTTTTCAGATATTTATTTGGAAATAAAAGTTTGAAAACAATGTGTTTCCACTTCACGATTATGTGCTGCTTTGAATTGGTCCGTCTCATTAACTCTTAAATTACACCGAGGTTGGTGGTCGTAACATGGCAATGTGGAGACGCCAGAAGGGTGTGAAGACTTTCACAAAGCACTGTACAGTGGAGTGACTGAGACAGTTTCATTTTCAGAAGCTGAACATTTAGAGGCTCACTGATCTGTGCTTTATGTTAACATTGAACACCCTGCAGAATAAAGAGCTGGAAACCAGTATTGACTATAACACACCACAGGTCGATACAGTGGAAACCTGCTTTGGTCTGGGACCGCTGCTCAACTTAAAATTATTTTCTAAAACATAAAAAGTACGAACAAAATTTCAAATCACTGCCTCCCTCATTAAGACTTTTTTTTTATTTTTATAACAAGTCATGAATGCTGTGTCCTTGAGCATTGAAAGGAGAGGGATAATCCACCCTGCCATCAGAGCAGAATTTAAAATTTGTGATTGCTGGGAATTTATTAACATTTGTGCAAGCTTTTGGCCAGCATGTGTTTCTTTGCAAAGTTTTTCACCACCCTTTAAAACCACAAACCACAGTATATTTTAGATTTCACAACTTAGCTCATAATTGTGACATGGAAGAAAAATGATATTTACTTTTCAAAGTTTTCATAATAAAGTGTGCCAGGCAGTTGTTATCAACCCCCTTTGCTCTAAAACACTTACTCCCACAGCACGATGGAACACTTCCATTACTTATGATTAGTTACCCATTTAAAACAGTAGTGTATACATTGCTACTGTTAAGACTGTTGCTTGCCCACTATTAAAACCTTTGGGAAAATTTAATCCATTATGAATAGAAAAAAAAAGGCAAAAGAATCTCTGTCATTTTAATGTGCTGATATCCAATCAGTTTGAAATGGTAAACATTTAATCTTTAAAACTACAGCACTTAGATTTATTAGTTTCCAAGTATGTGCATTGTGCTTTTAAAACAATTACTGATGCAACACAGGGGCAAAACATGATACCATATTGTTGTTTTTTATAGGAGGAGATGGTTTTCAGAAAAAATATAATTTCCTATTTTACGTATTTGTTTTTTTCTGCATTTCTTTGTTCATTGTCTATTATATTGCAGTTATTAAAAATATCATTTAAGAATATTATTATGTATTTGTTTTACTTGCAGCAATTGGCAAAGTAGAACAATATAATTAAATGACTTTCAGAGGAAATCAAATGAAAAAACAAAACAATACAAATGTGTAAAAGAATACTTGCTTTACAAATTTAATAAAGAAGAACATTACAATATAAAAATAAAACATATTTGCACAGTAACATTAAAAATAAAATGATGAAATACAGCAACAAAATTAACATCCATGAAACAACTTGCTTAGCAACTAAGAATCAAACTAAGTAATATTTAAAATAGTGGTGTAAGACATGCAAGTAAAGATCTGTACAACAGAGTTTGCTAACCAGATTTATAAACACAATAAGGTATTAGAATAAATCAAAATTATAACAGATTAACAGATTTTAACTTTCATTGAAGATAAAATATACTTTTAAAATATATGCAAAACCCCACTTGTCTTTCAATTTTAAGAATAGAATGACTTAAAACACAAAACACCTGCTCGAAAATATTATGAATCAAATTTTAAATGGAGTAAAATTGTAAAATATATGTATAAACTCCAAAACTCTTAAAATAACATCAATATATACTCTCCAGGATAGTTCAGCTTTCCCCGCCCCCCATATATTCTTTTAAAAATTTCAATTATTTCCCCTCAGGGCAGGTGGGTGGATGTGAAAAATAACAAAAGGACATCAGGACGAAAGATGAAAACGCAGCTTTCTCCCACCACAAGATGCAGGTTTGGTGGCATGAAATGATTAATTTCACACATATACAGGTCATCTCCAAAAGCAGCAACATCTCATTCACAAGGGGCCCTCCGTCAGCAACAAAGCAGGAGGCTGCAATAAAATACGCAAACAGCAGCACGTACTGCACGTCAATAAATCTTTGGAGGTTAAACCTGAGCTCTGTAGAATCCGAGCAGCCCAGTCAGGTAAAAGTCACAGAGTACATCAACACGATGGGGACCAGAAAAAAAAACTAAAAAAAAAATAAAAACAGCAGTTCAGCGAGTACAGTCTCACACACAGTCTGTGTTTGTAGAAGTAGGATGAAGCCTTAAATTATTGGGTTTGTGTAAATAAGGAGATGAGACTGTTTTTAGCACACCGGGTGGAAGGAGGAGTGCTTGGATGAGAATAGTCTCTCTGTGTGCAGCAGGATTGCTTTTGGGTTGTTTACGACAGCTCGCGGCTCTCATATATCACAGGCAGTATGTTTGCTGTGAAGCTACAGTTTGCGTGCCATCTGCCTTAGCTGAACTTGACCCTCCAAACAGACTTGTATTTGTAAACTGAGCTCTTCTCTTTACTGTTTTTTTTTTTCTTTTTTTTTTCCTAGTGGATGCTCCAGAAACCGCATAAGGTGGCTACCTTCTTTGGGTGCATCGGGAAGGATGACTTCGGCAAGATCCTGAAGAAGAAGGCGGAGGAAGCTCATGTCGATGCCCATTACTACGAGCAGACCGAGGAGCCGACTGGTACCTGTGCAGCTTGCATCACTGGAGACAATAGGTTAGCCTCCTGTTTGGGACCTTTGACCTGGAAACTGCCCTTTATCTGCGATTTGACAGAGCCACTTCTTCTTCAGGTCTTAGCTCCCCACATCAGAAGGGTAAAAATTAACAGCTTGAGCTTGTTTTTTTGGGGCCCCACTCAGTCTCTGCCACTATAGCAGGTTGTCATCCATCTATAGCCTGACAGTAGCAACGTGTTAGAGATTCCTGGGCTCTCACCTGTCAGCCTGCAAAAAGGGGCTTTAGCGTCTCTGGCGACTCTGCCACTTGCATCATCAGCACATTTGAGACAGCAAAGGTCAAACTTTCACGTTCATACACACAAATATCACTAACATTAAGGGCTGCAGTTCATGATAGGCCTGGCAGCGATCAATAACCCTCATCTCTAAACACTCTTCCCCCTCGGCAGCCCTTCATCCTGACGGATACCACGCTTGTCAGTCAGTCAGCAGCCGGACCCCACCCATCCCGGGAGCCAGCTCTGGTGAATGGTCTTAGTGGGCTTGTTTGATGTGGGCTCTGACACCTGAAAAGGTCAGGTGCCGTGCTCGAGGAGGCGAACTCTGTAATATTTCTTACAGGTGTTTAACAGAGAGCTCAGGAACCCAGAAGAAAAAGGTCGACCACAGGGCCGGATTGAAAAAGCGATGGCTTTGAAGGACTGGGAGCTAACATGTCACAACCTCTCAAGATTTGATTAGTGAAAGGCTTCAAACTAAGAAAAAAAACAAAATCTGCCTTTTTCCGGTCTTTCTCAGATTTCAGAATTGAACTTCCAGTCTGTGAATATGTTTCATGAAGAACAGCCACATTTTAGACATTAAGAAACAAGCTTATTAGATTTTTTTCAATGTGCAATCAGAGGTTTAATCAGCAAATCACAGATCTCAAAGTTTGCATGATGGCAGCCAAACATTTTGGATCCATTTTATAAAATGAAAAATGTCTATCTAATAATCTTACTAACTCTAACAAATTTAAACAATCACAGAACACAAGGATGAAGTGATTACAAATCCCTGATTGTTGGCTAATTTTTGACTGACAATAACTAGCTTTCAAAATTAAGTAATTTCTTCCATACTTACAGTTCATTATGTTGAGTGATGCACAATTTTTCACTTGCAGTTTTAAGTGGTGAAATATAACAAATAACATTTATTTAATTAGCATTAGGTATGATTGCCAAGGAACATAATTGTGTAACAGTCACAATAGGTCCCTTTTAGTGAAGCAATTTTGCTGTTTCTTCCTGTTTAATATCAATGTGTGTATTTAATCTGATTAAATACACACTCCTATTAGCACGTTTTTTTGTTGAATATGGTTTGGAAATGAGAATTTTCCAGCTTAAAACTAAAAACAATGAGCAAGTTAATTTGATGTTTTGTGGAAGATGCCCATTTTATGGCCTCTATATTTTTGAAAACTTTAAGGTTTTAAAGCAACATAAACATCCTCAATATCAAAAGAAAAAAGCAGAAATAAGTTGACACAAAACGTCTCAACAAATCAAACAGGAAATGCTTTTATTTTGAAAAAAAACTTGTGCAATTTTTGCATTGATGTTGCATTCGGAGAATGTGTGTATCACGTTTGAAGCTGCGGCCTGTGGTTTACTTACTGTTAAAGCTTGGTAGATGCTAGCATTAAATAAAAAAGACAAACTTCTTTTACTTTCACTTACAGTAATGCATCAAAAACATCAGAGAAAAGCCATAACGTTCCCACGACGGCTAGTGAGTTGTAAACATTATGGTAAGATGCTTAGAGGGAATAACAGCTTCTACTCAACTCTGACTGCATGACATAAAGATTGTTTACAAAACTTCAGTCTCAGGGCATCAATCCAAGTTGAGTCTTGAGTTGTCAGAGTTCATAACTACTTACTTTATTTTGTTTTATTTACTTAAATGTGACTTTGGTTTCCATCCAGCTTTAGTTTTTAACAAACCCCTATTTTGCTCTTAGTCTCAATGTTTCAATACGGAGCAGTTTGCTGAAGTGTTAGGCTAAGATCATTTATGAACTGTTTTGATATAATTTCTTAATGATTTAAGTTTGGCGCATATTTCTGTGTGAACTAAAGTTGAAAAAGTTGCTCCCAAACTTGGTAAACATTTAGGAGTTGTGTTTCAGTTTCTGCCCCACACAGCAACAGTTGTTTGAGCACAGATGACAGAAAAAGTGGAATATGCATCAGCCAATTCAGTCTCTCTTTCAATGTGGATGCCAGCTGATTGTTGTTAGCTCAACAAAATAGTGTCCACGTCCTTCAATAGTTTTGCAAGCATGGCTGTAAAAATCACAGTTGCAGTAGTTGCAGTTAAGTGGAGGGATTTAAGTGCACCCATCAGGTCATTTAAGACCAGCTGTAGGCTGAGGACTGGAGCACTTCTCTCTGAAAATGCAGACAGCAACGCTGCAGTTGCACTTTTATAGAAGTATCCCACCAAACCTCATTCGTTCTTTCATTTATTCAGTTCTTTTGAACGGCCCCAGTAATGACACTCATTTCGCCTGTCTTGTGTGGCCCCAACCTTCCAGTCCATTACCGCAGCCCGGGTCAAACTCGGTCCCGCTGTCACATCACGGCCTTCGTCATCGCACTCTGATCAACTTACTGCGCCGCTACTCGTCTCTGTGACACTAACTGCGGCGAGCAGCTTCTTCATGCCATGTGAGAGCGGACCCCCTTCCTGTAGCAGCGCTCTCCTGTCATATGGTCGCCTAACAGTTTTCCCCTAAGTAGCTGTGATGGCTGCTCTCATTTTGATGGTCGCTCATAAAGAAGAAGAACATGAGGATGGGCTAATGAGCTATGTTAAGATAAGGCCACCTGCTTCACATCCCATCTCCCACTACTCAGCTAAAGTGCTCATTTAGTAATGCGTTTTTGTTGTTTCTCCACCTTCATCAAGTGCGAGCCATTTCTCCTGATGATGTGAGAGTATGAATTATTTGGAGGTGGCCTATTGTTCCTACTTTAATGTCTGATGATTTAAAATAGCCTGCTTTTGAAAAAAACAAAACAAAACAAACAAGCGGCAAAATAGAAACATCTACATGACTTTATTTCACCTTGGTTCAAACCCTCTGGGAAGCTATTATCATTCTTTTTATGTGGTGAAAGAACAAAGAAATGTCTGCAGCCTTTCTGGGTTTTTTTTTTAAGGATGTTTTTGAGACAAAATTAAGATGGATGATAAGCGAGGCAGAAGATTTATGGGGTCTGTCTCGGCAGGTCCCTTGTTGCTAACCTGGCAGCGGCAAACTGCTACAAAAAGGAAAAACACCTGGACTTGGACAGCAACTGGGAGCTGGTGGAGAAAGCCAAGGTCTATTATATTGCGGTAAGTGAGACCCCTCTATATTCAGAGTGACTGTTCCCCAACTCTGTTAGCCAGAAGAGGACAAAATGTTAAGAGGCTTTATTCAGGAAATGCCTCAGCACGCCCTCGGTATTGTCAATACATCCATTCATCCTTTGTGGGGGAAATGAGCTATGTTACCTATTGAGACAATACAGCTCCATTTTCCCTCTCCCCCCCCCGTCTTTGTGCACCAAGCTGCAGCGCAGTGTGAAATTGTTCTAGATGTAATGTATTCATTCATTTCTTTTAACATGAAGACAAGCCAACAGGTGCTGCCAAAGTGTGAAAATTGATTATGCAAGTTCATTGGGCTTTACCCCTCCTCCCCCAACCGCCTACACAATCTTCCACTCAAACACACACATACACACACAGATTGAGGGGGACAGATGTATGCTGCTACTGAGGTAATGTCTTCACTTGGAGCTTGTGGAGCAAGATGCCCTGTCGTTCTCATGTTTCACTGTTTGGGATTATATTTAATTCCCGCAGATCAACGTTTTCCCTCATCTCAGATCAAGACGATAACCCTGAAATCACACCGCATTCCATGTCTTTAAACACTTTATTATTGGCATGAATCAGCGTTACAGCCAGTGGTGGTTTGTGATATGGCAGGATATGGCTCACTGCCCAGGGAGCCCTCCCATCAGCGAGTGACACAAACAAAATGTCTGCCATTTGCACTCCAGATGTGTGTTTTGTAAAACAATCACGTGACATGAACTGTGGTGTCTGACTAGACGGGTGCAAAGTCACTGTCTTTTTAAGAAATCTGGAAAATTTGAGTTCAAAATCAATCATCCAGACTTTGAAAGAAAGAGAGAGAGCAAGACTGTGGAAGGTAACACAGATACAATTTGATCCGTTTTAACTTTTAAAACGGATCAAACATTGAGAAATGTTGGCATCTTTATAAAAAATTTCAATTTTTAGGAAATTAACAGGTTATTGCAATGGCAACTACAGCAACCCACTGAATCAGTAAAGGCATTTTAAAATATTAACTTTATTTTAAATTAATTTTATTTTAAATCTTGTTCTCAAATGTAGTTACAAAAAAGTATCTAAATATGTACATATACTGTGTGATGTAATGGTCACCAGTGATTACAGCCAAGCCATTAACACAATCCTTGGTATAAAGAAAACTAGCTGCACATTGCTAGCTGTGCTATAGAAGCTGTTATGATCCCATAATTTAGTGCTCAGTGAAACAAAAGCCAAGAAAATGAAGATAAAATAAATCGTTGCTTATGCTCGGCCTGTCCATCCTCCCGAGTTTGTGTGGTCTCATCTTTTTAGCCTCTGCTTCACATTAGCAAACATGGCACATCCTCTGCAAATTGGCAGTTGGTTTTTGCCCACATCCGACAGTCTTGTGCACAGGGAAAAGCTTCCGTGGGATTTTAAGGGGTGGGGTGCGGGAGCTGGGACGAGGGGGGAGGATCGACGGGCCACAAATGGGTGTTTGTCAGTGCTTGGAATCTAAAATGCGGTTTGTAGCGTCCCTCTTGGGCCTCTTTGTCAAAACAGGGAGGGGGGAATCATTCGCTTTATTAAAGTCCCATTGGCACTTGTAAAGTACTTATCTAGATACACTGCCACAGCTATTCCCACTTAATACTGTGTGGCGTGTCTAGACTAGCATACACCGAGGCCTTCTCTCTCCATTAACCTTGTCGAGAGCACTTAGATGTATTTACCTAATTTACAGCTGGATTGTAAATTTTTCCCTCTCTCTGCGCTAACCTTTTCACTGTATTAATGTTCCTTGTTGATTTTCGTTCGCATTAAACTGCTGCCGGGTGGTTTTTGCGGCCATGTACGCTTTGATCCGTAAATTTAATTACCCCCCCAAAAAAGGCGCACATGTGTTTGTGCGTGCGTGCGCGCGTGTGCTGCCACGTTTATTTGCTTGCACATGTGTCTGCGTCTGTCAGGGCATGCGTGTTAAGAAGGTGATTGATGATTCCTGGCAGAGGCTCTTTCAAGGTGCCTGCTACGATGTGGTGTGATTGGATGAAAACAGAATTATTAGAGGGCTCTCTCTCTCTTGCAGCCAGACTGGCTCATCATCCAGCAGCAGCTCCAGCAGCAGCAGCAGGGCTGGTGGCAGACGCAGAGCAGGGAGGCAGCACTGCCATTTCTCACAAAGAGACACAGAGAGAAAGAGAGGGAGAGAGGAAGAGAGGGAGAGAGAATGTTGAACTCCTGCCAAATGTTTTTGTGGCAGGCTGTTGCTAGGAAATCTGGGTCCTTAGGCAAATCATTGCACAAAGACCAATAACAAAGGCGAGTAGAAGGAATGGCTAAACGCATTTCAGGCAAACCTTTTTGTTTTGCTTTTTTCTTTGAATGCCATCGCCCTTTGCAGTGATGTGTGCAGTTATTTCCTACCATGATGACTGTAAGCATCAGAAATGGTAAAAAGCGAAGATGAGTGACTCTAATTGGTCTAGGTGATTTGTGCATGCTGCCCCAGTTAGTCTCTCCCCCTCCTCCCCTCGTTGGCCTTCTGTGGACACCTTCCTCACCCCCTCCTCCTCCTCTCCCTTTGCGCCCTCTTCCTCTCTCCTCTAGTCTCCCAGACACACATACATTTTACTGTTAAACACTCCCAGCATGCAAGCACACATTCTGCAGCATACCACTGGCTTGTTTTTCTTACTACTGAGCGCATTGCCCTGTAATTTGATCTCCACCGCTTGATGCATCCTCCATGATGCCACTTTGAATTAACCTATGTCTGCACCAGCTCTCCTTGGCCCCCTGCTAATAAAATGGTCTCTTCTAACTTACTCAGATTAATTTAAAAAAAAAAAAAAAAAGGAAAAAAAGAGGCCCTCTGTCTCATGGCCGTGTACAATGTAACTAACAGAAAGAGAGCAGAGAAACAAGACAATTGACTGTGAAAAGGCCTGTTAATGACTGGGCACAGATGGCCAGAAAATAACCCAAGGATAGACGCAGGAGACGCTCGCCCCTGCCAACTGGCCTGGTACACCAAATTCAACCAATGAGGCACAAGCTGCAGAGCTGTTAGGTCACAGATCTGATCACAGCTGCTCCTTTCCAATCTATCCTACGAGCTCAGTCCTCGTTAGCCACGCCTAAAAATAAAAAAAGAAATTAAAAAGAGCATGATGAGGTCTTGTGGCACAAGATATCCCAATATTAAAATGCCAAAACATTTCTCGTCTGGATCACTAAGCTCTGTCCAGTTGCAATCAGCACGGCTATTACGCACCCAGGATGTGAAGTCGAGCATATTAAGCTTGGCATCCTGTTTGTGACTCCTATTTTGAAGAATACAAGGAAGTAGATTCTGAACTCTGGATACTACTTCCTGCGTAGTGTCCAGACCGTGCAGTAACGCAACCGTCTTTTTTGTGGTGTTAATAGAGACTTTGCCTCACCCAAAGCGCTCAAAGGTAGTTTCCTTTATGGGCTTGCAGACAGTACACAGCTGCTCCAAATCTTCTAAATTGTCATTTTACGAGCACAAATGCAATTGTACACAATTTTATTGAGATTTTGTGATACAGCAGCAAGAATTGTGATGTGGAAAGAAAGTGATGACATGGTTTTCAAAACTTATCACAAATAAAAACATGAAAATGTGGCATTGACTTGTATTTACCCAGAAATTACATGTTCCATTATAACTTGTGGAACAAGACATTTCTCAAATCAATATGGGTAAAGTTTTGGAAGATTGTTTCACTTATAACTAATACATGATCATCATTATTAAGAAATTATTGACTTTAAACATGCTGCTGTGTCTTTCTGAAAAGTTACTTGTCAGTTAGTTTTGTCTTGAAGCATGCTAAGATATTTGCATCAGAAAGTAGACCAAAGCATTAGTCATCAGGAAAACTGGTCAGAGTTTATATGAAGGCTGGTGTAGCTAAAAACAAAAAAAGAAAATGTGGCTGCAAAAGACTAGAAACTTCAAGCAGCACAATTACGCAAACAATGTCCAACTCAAAATCCAGTTGAGAGATGCCATCTGTCCAATCAGACTTAACTTTATCTGTTTTACGAAGAGAAATGGAGACAAGTTTTAGTTGGAAATGTGCAGAGCTGGTAGATCAGACCCCAAAAGAGTTTAGCCTCATGACCAAATCTCGTGGATTGTCTCATGGGCTGGGTTTATTGCTACAACCCTACTAAAAAAAGGAGCTTTTTTTTAATGTTTGTTTTTCAAGGCACCAATGCTAGTTGAACCAGAATGCCTCACACTGTTAACACTAGTACACTGTATACAGCATTAATTGCTGGTTGTATTCCTGCCCTCACTGCAGGGGAAAGCTGAGTTCAGCTTCAGTCACTGAAGCATAATATGCAAGAGAGAAAAAAAAAAAAAAAGAAGGCAAAGGCAGGAAAGAAAAGCGCAGCTCTGGCACCACAAGCTGCACGTCAGCCTGCTTACACCCGAGAGTGGCACACACACGCACGCACACACTGTTAGTCCACCTCACTAGTCTCCTTCAGTTTGCAGCCAAAAAAGCAGAGAAAGGTTTTCCACACACACATCTGACACCTCATCAGCCAGCCGAAGGGCTGATCAGCACAGAGGTGACTGCGGCTGCGTTTGTGTCCAACTATGAGGACCACACTGTCCTCCCGCTGACCTTCAGACTGTCTTCCACTGTCCTTCTGCTCTCCATCCTTCCACTGTTCTTTATATCTCTATCCCCCTCTTCCCTGTCTCATTCCTCATTTTCTCTTCTTTCTTTCTTTCTTTCTTTTCCTCTCTGTACTGCACCACTCTGCGCTGCCCCTGTCCTTCCACACAGCCAGGGAGAGATCACGAGGCAAAATGCAGACATGGGAGAGGAAGAAAGGGAGGGAGGATGGAGAAGTGGAAGGGTTAGAGAAGAAGAAGGGGGGGAAAAAAACTGGCAGGCTTCCTCTTTGTCTGCAGGCGATCAGTTACAGTCTTGGTTGCCGATGAAATTTAATCCCCACCG